CGGTCCCTCTGTGTGCACATCCCGGTCCCTCTGTGTGGCATCCCGGTCCCTCTGTGTGCGCATCCCGGTCCCTCTGTGTGCGCATCTGTGTCCCTCTGTGTGCGCATCCGTGTCCCTCTGTGTGCGCATCTGTGTCCCTCTGTGTGGCATCCCGGTCTCTCTGTGTGCGCATCCGTGTTCCTCTGTGTGCACAGCCCGGTCCCTCTGTGTGTGCATCCCGGTCCCTCTTTGTGCGCGTCCCGGTCCCTCTGTGTGCGCATCCGTGTCCCTCTGTGTGGCATCCCAGTCCCTCTGTGTGCGCATCCGTGTCCCTCTGTGTGGCATCCCGGTCCCTCTGTGTGCACATCCCGGTCCCTCTGTGTGGCATCCCTGTCCCTCTGTGTGGCATCCCGGTCCCTCTGTGTGCACATCCCGGTCCCTCTGTGTGCGCATCCTGGTCCCTCTGTGTGCACATCCCGGTCCCTCTGTGTGCGCGTCCCGGTCCCTCTGTGTGGCATCCCGGTCCCTTGTGTGCGCATCCGTGTCCCTCTGTGTGCACAGCCCGGTCCCTCTGTGTGTGCATCCCTGTCCCTCTGTGTGCGCGTCCCGGTCCCTCTGTGTGCACATCCCGGTCCCTCTGTGTGCGTGGCCTGGCATCCTCGGGGAAGTGCTCCTGGTCATGTGCACTCCATCCGCTAAGTCACCTGACTTCCTGCTGCTAAACTCGCCCTCAGCAGGCCCGTCCATTTGTCCTAAAGTAGGTGTGGGGCCCGAAGTCAAATTTGGTGGTGATGACGGCTGTCAGCAGGCGGGGGGGTGGGGGGGGTGTCGAGTTCCCAGTGAGCTGTGCAGAGCAGAGGATACGGGGTGCGCCAGGCAAATGGTCAGTGTCCATCTCCTCCCTTCCCCCAGACATTCTTCTCCGAGCTTACCTGGTACAGCTGCCATTTATGAGGAGCACGTGTGTTTGTGTAATCTGCCCTGACACACACACACACACACACACACACACTCACACACATACATTCACACACATGCACATTCACTCACACACATACATTCACACACATGCACATTCACTCACACACTCTCACACACTCACACACACACTCACATGCACATACACACTCATACACGTACATTCTCACACACTCACACATACACACGGACGCACGCTCTCTCTCACACACACACACTCACACACACATGTGCGTGCACACGCGTGCTCTCTCTCTTTCTCTCACACACACACACACTCACACACACTCATACATGCACATTCTCTCTCTCTCTCTCTCTCTCTCTCTCTCTCTCTCTCTCTCACACACACACACACACACACACATACACACACTCTCCCGGAGCTCTGATGACTGCTCCAGAACATTCTAGTTCTGTGGGAGACGGAGGAGGGTGTTGAGGAGGGCGCCTCCTGACGTTTGCCTTGACCACCTCTGCCGCCCCCACCCACAGCATCTGCCTCGTCCTGCCCCTTCTTTCGCAGGCCCCACTCCCACAGCCTCCTCCTGCCCCCTGTTAGGGAAACAGCGTGGAAACGAGCCTCACGGCACAGCCACGGGTTCAAGGGCGACCCAGCCCATGGTCCTCACACGTGGTTTGCGGAGTCCTTACTCACCTGCCACACTGCCTGCCCGCTCTCCTTGTCTCTCGTCTTTCTCCCTCTCCCTTCTCCTGCCCCCTCTCTCCATCCCCCTTCCCCCCCTTAGTGATCCACACATTTCCCAGCTCCCCCAGAACTCCGGGCATCTCTGGTTCCCGGCACCTTGGAAAGAAAAGGGGGGTGGGGACCAACCTGAGGAGCAGAGCCATTCACCCTGAGAATGACCCGCCCCGGGTGCTGCCCACAGGTAAGCCCACGGCGCCTCCTGGCCCTGTGAGGCCCGAGGAGCTGAACTTGGTCCCAGGCAGGGGGCGCATGGACCCCTTATAAGACGTTTGACAAATTGACTGACTTCTATTTACTCCTTCCGGGCTTAAGGGAGACTTAGAAAGACACAGCATCCCATAGTTCATTTGTTTGATGATGAAAAATAATTGCAAAATTGTTGGCAAATGAAGTGCTAAAGAGAACAAGCCATTCCAACTTCCCTGTGGTCTCTGAGCGCAGGATGCTGGCCCCTCGGTTCCCCCTGTAGCAGCTTTATTGCCCCCACACCACCCCATCACCCCTTAAAGCAGACAAGTCAGGTGTTTGGTACAGTCACAGAGCTGTGCTTGCGGTCCCATGAATAATTTTAGAACGTTTTCATTATCCCCCCAAAGAAATTGTGCATTCTTAGCCGTCACCCCTCCTCCTCACTCCCTCCCCCCTCCCCCAGTCCTGGCAATCTCTACTTCTATCCGCAGAATAGAGGTGCTGGCTCTGGACGCGTCATGCTAATGGAACCATGGACGCACGGCCCTCTGGCTGGCTCCTCTCCCTGGGCTGAGTCCTCCAGGCTCCTCCTCGCTGCAGCATTTTTACTGCCACCCGGTGCTCCGCGGTGTCCTCACACCCCACGTGCGTCAGCGGGTGGCGCGCGTGCTGCTGCTCGTTGTGAAGGAGGCCGCCGGGAACATTGTGTGTCTGTGTGGGTGCGCGTGTCCTCCCTCCGCACGTGCTCCGGGGAGAGGGCTGCGGCTCCCCGGGAGCTCGGCCTCTGACCGGTCCCGGAGCTGCCAGGCTGTTTTCCAAAGAGGCTGGACCGTTTCCACGCCCGCCTGCAGGTGTGGGGGCTCGATCTCTCCGCGTCCTCCCCCCACCCACACCTCGCTGTCCCTCCTGGAGCGTGGGAGCCTTTCCCTGCTGGCCAGGGAGACGGGACCTTCCCCGGGGGTCACGTTTCCTAGAGCCTCAGGAGAAGACGCCGGAGCTGTCCTTGCTGTCAGAACATTCCTTGGGGGACCCGGCGTGAGGCAGGGGAGAGAGGCGAGGGCACGCGAGCCTGTTGGTGGCAGCGGAGTGGAAACTGGGATTGTTTCTTCCATTTGCCTGACCCCCTGGCCTTCCCCCTCAGTAGCCCAGGCCCATGTGGACCCCAGGGCCGTGGGTCTGCGAGTCCTTGGTGTGCAGGTGTGCTGATGTCACCCGTGTTCGGCGTCTCGTCATTTAGGTCTCAGCTTAATGCTACCCTGATCCACTGGGGCCCATGGAGAGCAGTCCTTCCCCTCCAGCCCTCCGGAGCCCCCACGGCGACCCCCGGGGCCCTCTGACAGCTCACGTGGCTTCACACGGTGGACAGACACCTGTCTGCCTTTCTGGCCTGACTGCTCCGCTCGGGCTTGGCGGCGAGCAGGACGCTGGTGGGAATTACACCAATTCCCCCCCAGCAGCTCGGGCCACGCTGTGTCAGAGGAGGAAACGCACCTCCAATGAGGGGCTCACATGGAGGAAAGCGTTTCGGGGCTGCCTCTCCGTGGGGCCTGCCCACGTTTACTTTCTAGAAGACTCGGAAGGGGAGGGAGAAAAGGTATGCGTGTGGCAGCGGGAGAGGCAGGGGGCTGAGATGTCCGAGAGCTCAGGGAGCCGCTGTGACCATTCCCCTCTGCCTGCCTTGGAGCGGGCTCCCTGCACACGCCATGGCTCCGCGCTCCCCAGATCCTCATGGTCCTGGCCAGCCGGGACCCCTCCTCCCAGTGGCAGGCCCATCCCACCTCCCCTTAATTCTCCCAGCGCTCAGAGCACCAGTCTTTAGACAGACCCCCCCTCACACTCCCCCTCACGCCCTGCACGTCTCCTTAGGTACCATCTTAGGCCCCAACCAGACCTCTGAGCGTTAAGGTGTGTGCCTGTGGCTCCGGGGTCTGGAAGGCAGTGAGGTCTGAGGGCCTGCATCCCTGACAACTCCCAGCTACACGAATGCTGGTTCATGGACCAGCCAGGGTCTGTCTAGACTCTGGACGGATAGCGTCTCGATTTGGGGCTGCAGATTTTAAAAGCTGTATTGATCAGTAAGACAGCACATGGGTAGACAGGTGTGTGTGTGTGTGTGTGTGTGTGTGTGTGTGAGAGAGTGTGTGTGAGTGTGTGTAAGTGTGAATGTGTGAGTGTGTGTGTGTGTGTGTGTGTGAGTATGTGTGAGTGTGTGTAAGTGTGAATGTGTGAGTGTGTGAGTGTGTGTATGAGTGTGTAAGTGTGAATGTGTGTGTGTGTGTGAGTGTGTGTGAGTGTGTGTAAGTGTGAATGTGTGAGTGTGTGAGTGTGTGTATGAGTGTGTAAGTGTGAATGTGTGAGTGTGTGTGTGAGTGTGTGCGTGCATGTCTGGAAACCAGGCCTTTAGAGGACAGAGTGCAGCAACTTTGAATGTTTGGTGAAGGAAGAGGGAGTCGGAAGCAGGTGGCGAGGTGGCCGTGCACGTGCCCGGAGAGCAAACGTGCTGCACTTCCTCGCAGGGGCGGGAGGTCTGGAGCCAGATCCGCGGGTCCCAGCCCGTCCCTCGGACGCAGGCGCCCTCAAGGTGCTCACGCAAGGAGGGCCGTCCTGTGTGCTGAGCTCAGAGTGAGCACACGCCATCTCCCTTCTCAGAGGTCTGCGGAGCATGTCCGCGGAGGGAGGCTTTGAGACAGATGCCTGCAGGAAGGAGCCGGCTGCACTCGCTTTTCCGTGAAAAAACCACGCTTCCGCTGGCCGTGCTCTGTGTTCACATTTGCCTTCTTGAGGCCAGAAAGGGCCACTGGGGGCGTGAGTGTGAAGTGCCCCGTGTGCGGGCCAAGACGTGGGAATGCCCTCTTTGCCAACGTGCCCCTGACTGTGCCCCGGGGGCTGCAGGGTCCCGCCCAAGGCCCTGGAGGGTGGGTTTCAGACTCTTGGTGGAGCCGAGGGTCAGAGCGACCCCGATGCAGAGTGCCTCTGTGGGAAGGGCTCCGTGGGGTTGGGCCTGCTGCTCGGCTCCTCTCTGCTTATCCCCCGGCCTTCTCTGCGCCTGAGGCACTCAGGGCGGACCGACGGCTGGACAGGCGGCGGTGGGGGTCCCTAACACTCACGCATCCCCGCCGTGGCTCCGGTTCTGCTTTTCTTTCAGGCGGATGTTCCCTGTGCTGAAGATCAGCGTCACGGGGCTGGACCCCAACGCCATGTACTCCCTCCTGCTGGACTTTGTCCCCACGGACAGCCACCGCTGGAAGTACGTCAACGGGGAGTGGGTGCCCGCAGGCAAGCCCGAGGTCTCCAGCCACAGCTGCGTGTACATCCACCCGGACTCGCCCAACTTCGGGGCGCACTGGATGAAGGCGCCCATCTCCTTCAGCAAGGTCAAGCTCACCAACAAGCTCAGCGGCGGCGGCCAGGTAGGCGCGCCCGGGGCCCTGCCGCCTGCCACCCTTGGACCAATCGAGGAGAAACCAGGGTGCATTTAGTCAATTAGAGGGGTCCTCAGCGGCCTCTTCGCCCCACAGAAGCCAATTACTCCCCCCCAGCCCACCCCCCGGCCCCAAGGTAAACAGGAATAAACAGCTCTTAATTGGTGCTTTGGGTTTTTAATGGACTTCCTGATGTGAAGAGAGCGCTTACTGAATCAGGGCCTTGCAGGGCAGGGCTGGGAGGGGGAGGCGGGCCGGGGTTTGCTAGGCGCACTCCCCTCTTTGTTTGGGGGAGAGTGGAGAGTTGGCAGTGGGCGAACGCCTTAATCGAAAGCGTCTCCTAATGAAATAATGGCTCCCTCCTCCTGGGCATCAGGATAATTGTCAGTAGAATATGGATGCAGCGTTGGTTTTGCAGAAAAAACAAAAACAAAAAAACAAAATAAAAAAACCCCAAAGAAACCTCGAGAAGGGAAGGAAGGTCTTCAGGGCGAGGGGACGAGACGTGGGGGCGTCTCCCTCCTCTGTCTTCTCAGGTGGGAGTGCGAATGCCAGTGCTCCGCGAGGGTTGCTGTTCCCTTTATGAAATGTAGACTTTGGGGGCATCCGAGGAAAGGTTTGCTACCCCCATTTCCAGTGGCCAGCCCCTTCGCCTGCAGCCTCGGCGCCTCCCCCGTCTCTCAGCCCCTCGGACGGGACACAGGAGGTCATGTGTCTGCAGGGGAGGAGGCCCCCCAGGTCTCGGCAGTTTTCAGAGGTTTCAGGTCTGATTAAAACAGGAAGTTGGGAAGCGAGCTGTCACCGCCTCCCACATTCCAGGGTCCCTCAGGGGGGCGGCAGTGGGTGCTCCGTGACCGGCAGGTGCCGGCATCCCTGCCCCCCAGGCAGCTCCTGTGGATGCAGCACATCTGGGCCCGGGATGCTGGGTCCTCCCACGAAGGAAACCAGCGTGGGGAAGGGTCACAATCCACATCACTGCGATGCAAAGAGGGAGAGAGAAAGAAGGAAGTCAGTATTTGGGCGGAAAATGGAATAATCTTTAGAACCGCTCCCTGGAAGCCTGCGCCAGCCTCCTATCGGCGCCCACGCTACGGTCCCTGGGGGCTGCTGGGGGAACCCCCTTCTTGCTCAGAGAGGTGCGCTGCATCAGGGGGCCGAGGGGGCCCAGTGCGTGGCCCTAAGCGGGTGGTGCCGAGCTTGGGGCGAACCACGGTCTGTTTCCCGTGAGAGCCCGGCTCCGCACGGCTCGCTTGCTCCTCTCGCACCCACAGATAATGCTGAGCTCCCTGCACAAGTACGAGCCGCAGGTGCACATTGTGCGCGTGGGAGGTGCCCACCGGATGGTCATGAACTGCTCCTTCCCTGAAACCCAGTTCATCGCCGTGACCGCCTACCAGAACGAGGAGGTGAGGGCGTGCGTGCGTGTGTGTGTGTGTGTGTGTGTGTGTGTGTGTGTCACCCAGAGGGCGTGCTTTTATTGCCATCTCCCAGCTGGGGTGACAGGTAGGCTTTTTAGGGTTCAGACACTTGGCGGAGGCGGAGTTAAGCAGTGGGGTGGCTGTCCCAGGGCCTCGGTGCCTGCAGGGAGCTGCGTGTCTGGAGAGAAGAACCATGTGCCTGTGGGCTTTCATTTGCCCGGTGCGCTGTCTCTCCTTTCAATGCTGTGGGCTTTTAAACCGTCACCATGTGTCCCCCGGAGCCCAAAGCAGGAGAAAGACGGGTGTGCGCAGCCGCCTCCCCTGCTCTAGGGCTCCCCCTCGCCCCTCGCCCCTCCGCCTCCCCCTCTCCCTCCGGCTTCCCGCCTGCACCAGGAAGAGCCTGCGTCTCGGGCCTTTGCTGACGCACCTGTCCTTTTTAACATCCGTTCATTCGGCAGCTGCCTGTTGAGTGTTAACTCCCTGCCTGGTGCTTCGCCCGCTGGGAAAACTGCAGTGAATTAAACACGTGTCTGGTCCTCAGGCTCATACGTCCCAGCAGGGAGAGGAGGACCAAATATACCTACATCACATGGGCACCGGGTGTCTGATAGGCGGTGTGTACAGGTCAGGGGCCCGAAGGAAATGAGGCAGGCGGAGGCCGGGGGATCGGGTGGCCGTGGGTAGGGTGAGAGCTTGAACGCTGTGCTAACCGGCCCCGGGGGTGGGCGGCTGATGAAGAACCAGGGAGGTGATGCCGGGCGCCTCTCGGCGAGGCTGGATCGCACGGCCTTACTGTCTTCCCTCCTGGTTCCCAGGCCAGAACCTAACTGACACGCGGGAGGCGTCCAGTGATGGGTGGAAAGATGAATGAGCAGGTCCAGGAAAGGGAGCGGGCTCAGTGCACGAGGCTCAGTGCTCTGGCCTGTCCTTGCTCACGCTCACGGCACCTGTCCTTTCCCCACGGGCCACGATAAAACGCTCTTTGCCAGAGATAGTGCGTTCGACTGTGGCTTTGTGCAGAAGCCAGCAGAGACACGTGGAGGAGGGAGGAGAGGAGACGGGGATGGTCCGGTGTTACAGAAACTCCCAGGTGAAGGGAGAGGGTCTGTCTGCTCTGCCTGTCTTGCTTCCACTAACACTTCTTATCTTTGTGAACGTAAGATAACAGCTCTCAAAATCAAGTACAACCCCTTTGCCAAAGCCTTCCTGGATGCCAAGGAGAGGTGAGTAGAGACATTTCAGTGAAACCTGGTGCATTGATTTCTGCAAAGGCGGGGTTTATGCTCCTCCAGAAAGAGCTAGACGAGCGGCACTGGCTTTATCTTTAAAAAAAAAAATGTTTCTACTTATTTCAGAGAGAGCGAGAGGGAGAGAAACATCAATGATGAGAGTGAATCATTGATCGGCTGCCTCCTGTATGCCCCACCCGGGGAGATTGAGCCTGCAACCTGGGCCTGTGCCCTGACCGGAATCTAGCCGTGACCTCCTGGTTCATGGTCGACACTCAGCAACTGAGCAACACTGGCTGGCTGCACTTGCTTTATCTTTAATAGAAATGTTTTTAATACTCAGTTTAATATTTAACAAAATCAATGAAACTCAACAAACTTATAACTCTCTGTCCCTTATAATACAAGCCTGGGAGAACCTCTCACTGGCACTACTTTGCCACCTGCTTGTCTACAGATTCCTGAAGCTAGCTAGCACAACCACATTTAAAAAACAATTCATGGGCTTAGAATTACATAGTTCACTCTGCCCTCTCCCAGTATCCCTGAGTTACTGATTTTAGTAAGTTTGATTTTTCAAAAAATGACATTTAGCCTAGGGAAGATGAGTTGTTCATTTAGCAGCTCGTGCAGGTGAGTGGGCCACACCGTTCAGGTCTGAGAGAAGGCAGACTTCCAGGTGTAAGTGGTACTTCTACCGCTGGGCCAGGGACTTCAATCCTGGTCTCTTCCCTTCCGTTCTAGGAAAAACATGGAAAAGTAATAGTACTTGTCATAGACTTCCATCAGGGAGACCAGAGCTCTGACGTGGTTCCGTTGGAAGGGGTCCTACTTTACTGCCTGAGTTCCAGGTCTTTTTTGATGCCTCCTACAGCTGTCTGTCTCCTTCCCATCCTAAAAGCTCCGGGTCAATGGACAGCTGTTTGTAATGGCTCCACAGGGCCTATCCTGTCAATATTTGACTTAATTTTGAGGATGTAGAAGACATACTTATAACCTGTTCAGATAAGCAAAGGCTTAAAGAAAATCTGCCTCGTGAGATGCCAGAACCCGGATTCAGAATGCTGGTAGCGTGGTCCAATCAGGAGAATCCAGCTCCAGGAGGGAGCGTCCTGCCTTAAGTCTGAGCTTCGCCATGTCCACTCTGATCTGGCCCACTTCCCTTACTCCCTGAGCCCCCTTTTAACCCTATGTCCCCCACGGGACCGGGGTGGGTCCAGCTCGGCACAGGTGGGGTTGTGCCTTGAAGTGCCCGCGTATCTTAGCTGTTGTTGGGCTTGGATTGTGTCAGGCGGGACCGTGGCCAGAAGTCAATAGGCTCTGACTAGGCGGAGAGAGCTGTAAACACGGTGAATTGGAGCAGCCCGTAACATTGCGATTAAGGAGCCATGGCCCAGGCGGATGCAGCACCTGGAGAGCAGGGAGTGGGAGAGACAGCGGCTTCAGGGAAAGGGGGTTTGATTTTCAAGAATGGGGTGCTCCCCGAGATTCGGGGCGACTTGGCGCTGATATGGGGCCGGCTGGACAGCCATGTGCCTTTGTTCCTCCTGCAGGAGCCACCTGAAGGACATCCCGGACGCCATCTCCGAGAGCCAGCACATGGCCTGTCCCCACCGTGAGTTCATGGGTGAATTCAGCGGGGGAGGCGCCTGGGGGGGACACCATCAGACTCCACATCAGACTCCACGGTCATGACCGCTGGCCTGTCCCAAACCTCCGTCAACACCCAGCGGGTTTTTCTTCCTCTCAAGACAAGTCTGTGCCCTGGCGAGAGTTCCAGAGAGATAGAGACAGAGAAAGAGAGACAGAGACAGAGAGACAGAGACAGAGACAGAGAGACAGAGACAGAGAGAGAGAGACAGAGACAGGGAGACAGAGACGGAGATGGAGATAGAGATGGTGACGGAGATGGACACAGAGACAGAGATACAGAGGGATAGAGACAGAGACAGAGAGATACAGAGATGGAGACAGAGACAGAGACAGAGATGGAAACAGTGACGGAGATAGAGATAGAAACAGAGAGAGACAGAGAAACAGGGACAGAGCTAGAGACAGAGACAGAGTCATAGATGGAGACAAAGAGTAGCAACAGAGATAGTATATAGAAATGCAACTGATTTTTTGTGTTGATTTTATGACCTGTAAGTTTGCAGAATTTATTAGTTCTAACATTTGTGTGTAAGTGTGTGTGTGTGTTTGTGTGTGTAATCTTTAGGGTTTTCTCCATGTAAGACAGTGTTTCCCAAATTTTTGACATATGTGTACCCCTCCTATAATTTTCTTTTTTTAAAAAAATATGTTTTATTGCTTTTTTTACAGAGAGGAAGGAAAGAGATAGAGAGCTAGAAATAGCGATGAGAGAGAAACATCTACCAGCTGCCTCTTGCACACTTCCTACTGGGAATGTGCCTGCAACCAAGGTACATGCCCTTGACCGGAATCGAACCTGGGACCTTTCAGCCCGCAGACTGACGCTCTACCACTGAGCCAAACAGGCTTCGGCCCCTTCTGTAATTTTTGTAACGCTGAGTACCCCTCATACTCATGAGAACGTAGAATTAGGTGCAGCTAAGCACGGTGCAGTGCATATCCCCACCGAACTCTGGTGCAACGTGTACCCCCATCAAACTCTTCCCGTACCCCTGGGGGTATACGTACCACATTTCGGAAAACACTGATGTAAGATCATGTCATCTGTGAACAGGGATAACTTTATTTCTTCTTTTCCAATTTTGGTGCCTTTTCTTTCTTTTTTAATTTTGATTTGATTTTTTTCCTAATTGTTCTGGGTGGGACCTCCAGTATCAGGTTGAATGGAAGTAGCCAGAAGGGGTGTCTGCCTCCCTGCCCTCAGAGGAGACGCTCGCACCTTCCTGCTGAGCTTGTGAGCGGTGGGCTGACAGATGGGCCTTTAGTATGTTGAAGCAATTTCCTTTCATTCCTCTTTTGCCGAGTGTCGTTGTTGTTTTAATCATGAAAGCATGCACATGCATTTTTTGCATTAGTTGAGGTGATTGATTACTCACAAACAAATTTCTATGAAATATTCTGCAAGATTCTTGCTGAAAGATATCCCGCTGCAAGATTCTTGCTGCCCAGGCAGGCCAGTGGCTCCCCATCTTTTCCATTTTCGGATCCTCTTCGTGGGGGTGGGGGACAACAGAGAGACCTTCACCCCTCTGTGCAACCACAGCAAACAGTCCTGGCGGCTGCCGCTGGCACCTCCTTCTTAGACTGACTTTTAATGCCACTCGTTGAAGTCAGAGCAACATAAGCTGTGAGTTTCCATTAGCGTATTCATTCCAACAGCCTTTTATATCGCTATGATTTCGGGGCCACAAACCTGGCTCGGACCTGCCCTCCGAGAGAAGCCGACGGGCTGTGATGTGGAAGGGGCAGGGTGGTCTCTGTCCCTCGGCAGATGATTCGGTGTCATCCACACAGAAACGGGGGCTGGAACCTGACTTTCCGTGTGCGTGTGTCTCCCTCTGTCTGTCCCAGTGGGCGGCTGGATCTTCTCCAACCCGGACGGAATGTGCTCGCCCGGGAACTCCAACTTCCAGTATGCACCGCCTCTGCCTCTGTCTGCCCCTCACGCCCACCACGGCTGTGAGCGCTACGCCGGCCTACGCGGGCACCGGCCGGCCCCCTACCCGGCCCCGTACGTGCACCGGACCCACGCTCCCTCAGGTGTGTGGCTCCGCTCACTACCCAGCACCGGGGTGGCGGGGGGTGGGCATGGAGGAGAGAGATGGGTAAAAAGAAGTGTCTGAAGATGAAGGAACCCCTTTCATGGAACACAGGTATGTTGTCATTTTAATGTTCTCTGTTATATACTAACAGTTGGTTTTAGATAGGATGTTGCTAGGTTTTGGTAATTTTCATAAGACACCGAGTGCGATGGGTGTGATGGTGCGGGGCACGGTGCCTGGAGCAGTTCCAGGCTTCGCCTCGGGGAGCCAGGTTGGAGGAGTGTCTGAGACAGTGCTGGTTGCCTTCCCGGGCTTTTCTGCAGGCACGTGGCTCCGTCCTGGGAGCTCGGGGCCCGCCCTGAGGCGCGGCCCGGAAGGTCTTGGGAAGCGGCCGCTCTGCACCCAGCCTGCGCAGGGTTAGTTGAAGGCACACCGAGCCAACCTGGATAATTTTTGGTCTGATTATTTTTTTATGCTGACGCTGATGTGTGCTTTTACCCTCCCTGACTGCTACCCGGCCCCCCTGGCCTGTGTCAACCCCTTGCTGGATGTTTTTGTGAAGGAGCGAGCAATGAAACCAAGGATGGATTTCTCATTCAGTTATTTATGCAAAAAATATTTATCAGAGGCCAATGGGATTCCAGGTTCTGCCCACGAACAAATCAGACCCTCATGGGGATTCCATTCGCAGATGGGGAGATGCACATGAAATAAGACAAGCAAGTCACGTCCGTGGCTGGGAGGCGGAGGAGGTGTTAGGCCTGCAGTGCCAGGGCCTCGGGAGCCCCGAGTCTGCAGAGGGCATCCCCGGTCACCTGCACCTGTCCCCGTGCCTCCGCCTGCGTGCTGGCGACCTCGACAGCTGCTGCGGGAGGGAGGGCGGAGCTGAATGTCTGGCGCTGAGCAATGTTCTCACGGCTTCCTGGTTCTCTCCGTGGCCGGCACAGAAAACGCGCCCTCGGAGCAGGTCCCCAGGCCTCTGCCAGGCGGTGGAAGGCGATTGGGGTGCAGTGTCTCCCTGCAGGGACTCAGGGCTGCATGCACCCACACGTCACTCATCACGTGATGTAGGGGCAGCACGAAGGTGGGCCTGGGCCTGTGCGTCCCCTGGAACCTCGCAGAGGTGGGCTCTCAGGCTCTCCCTCTGAAAGCGGCTGCGTTTAGCAGGGTCCCCAGGTGACTCCGAGGCACAGGAGAGTCTGAGAGGCCCAGGTGCTGAGGGGGAAAGGGCAGAGCTGCCCAGAGGAGTGTGAAGACCCACGTCCCCCATGGTTCAAGGTTCGGGCTCCGGAAGAGGGGCCGCATGCAAATGACAGAGACAAGACAAGAAGTAATAATTTGGAAATATTGGGGACCAGGCAGGAGCCCAACTCAAGGGGAAGGACTCCGCTTGGGCTCCGGCCTTGCCATCCTTTTATTCAATTTGGGAGATGCCTATAGCCCTTAGGCAGGCAGTTTCCAGTAACAGACAATCTTACCAGTAAGGATTTACATGGCTAGTCTGGTGGGGGAGTTGCTTCAGCCATCATTGTCTCCACTAAACAGTGGGTGTATGGCTCTGACCTTTGTCAGGGCTCAAGGGTCACCAGCCTTCGGGCTCCTTGTCCACACTTCTCTGCTGGTGAAGACCGCGGGCGGCTTCCGCAGAGGGGTTGACACTGGAGGTCTGGGGGCTGCGTGGAAAGCGAGGGGCGGGTGGGGTGAAGGACGGATGACCTGGGACACAAGCAGAGGCGAAGGGCGCCCCGGTGACAGCGTGATGTGAGCGAAGACCCAGAAAGGCGAGGGCCGGTGTCTGGGGAATGGAAGAGGAACGGGGTGGAGGGAGGGGAGGTAGAAGACAGAGCGGAGTCCGAAGAAGTTGTAAGTGCCCATCAGGTGAGGCGTGGCTTGGCCAGGTGGATACGCCGGAAACTTCTTCTCTCTCCTCTTTTCCCTCCGTCCTCTCTTCCTCTTTCCCTCCCTTCTCTCCCTTGTATTTACACTATTTATGCAGGTGGAGATTCTAAGACACAGACGACACTGTTTCTGAGAGGGTTAAGTCCGCCAGAGGCTGCTGAGAGACGTAGGTTCTGGACCTCAGACAGCTCAGCTGGGCCTGAGGGTGATGACACCCTAAAGTGCGACTTGCGCCTCAGCTGAGCCTGTGGCTTATGGCTGACGTTAAAAATTCCAGCCTCCCCCTCCTTTCTGTTTCCCTCAGAATGCTAGCAGCTACTGGCACCTGTAGGCAAGCCACGGCTGTGATGGCACAGGATAAGGGCATTGGGCACCACTGTGTAGGTCTGCGCGCTCCCTCAACTGTTGTTATTTTTCCAAAGTGAACTTGCTAGAAAGCTCTGGCAACAACCTGCAAGTGTTCTCCGGAGCCGACAGCTGGACCTCCATCTCCTCCACGCCGCATGCCAGCATCCTGTCCGTCCCGCACACCAGCGGCCCCATCAACCCTGGGCCCAGGTAAGACAGCGCCAGCAGCCGCTCCCTGACTCAGGGGCAAAGGTCAGCACAGGGGAACCCCGTGCTTTCTCTCTGAGGGGGCCTCGACTTCTCAGCCATGGGAAATGCCGTCGCAGGTAGGCAGTGAACAGAGGGGAGCTGGCGGGGGGGGGGGGGGGGGGGGAGAGAGTGAACGCACACGGAGAATGCAAGGCTTGAAGGTCCACATTCTTTCAAGCCAAGTTTTCACGGGGCAGGGAACGGGTGCCTGGCCTGCAGTGCAGGTGAGGGGCTGAGGGCAGGGCAGGACCAGCATGGCACTCACAGATACCAGGTCAGTTCTCACTTCTGGAAATGGGCGTGGCCGGTGAAGGCAAGGGGCCTGGAGTGGGATGGACGTGGGCTTAAGCCCCAGTGCCCTTTCAGTGACTTGGGGCAGCTTTCTCAGCCTCACTGAGCTCCGCTGTCCTGCCTGCGTGAGCTGCTCTGTAGTCAGAGTGGATCAAATAAGAAAATGCATGAAAATGCGCTGGAAGCAGTAGGTTCTGTCTCCGCTCAGCGGCTGTGCTCCACAGACGTGTGCAGCGTGTGAAGTCCCCAGAGGGGTTCAAAGGACCAGACGGGGCTGGGAGGCCAGAGGGCTGTGACTCTGCAGGTCCAGCCCAGGCCAGAACGCAGGGCTTCGGTCTACAGCAGCACCTCTCACGCCACATTCGCCAGGCTCGCTTGCGACGCTGCCACAGTGCACCGCCGGCGAGACCTGTGTGTGCCACAGGCTTCCAGGGGTGGCCAGGGTTGCTGTCAATTGTGATCTTTTTTTAAAATACATTTTATTGATTTTACACAGAGAGGAACTGAGAGGAATAGAGAGTTAGAAACGTCAATGAGAGAGAAACATTGACCAGCTGCCTCCTGCACACCCCCCACTGGGGATGTGCCCGCAACCAATGTACATGCCCTTGACCGGAATCGAACCCGGGACCCCTCAGTCCCCAGGCCGACGCTCCTCCACTGAGCCAAACCGGCTTCGGCTCAATTGTGATCTTGGTGTTGCCGTGGCCACAGGGTCTGTGTCATGCTGTCCCGTGCAGCCGCCACCTGTCACTCGCAGCAGGCTGATGCTCTATGCACTGAGCCAAACCGGTTACAGCTCAAGGTGGCCTCCTCCTCCTCCTCCTCTTCCTCCTCCTCCCCCTCCTCCTCCTCCTCCTCCTCCTCCTCCTTCTTCTTTTTCAAAAATATATTTTATTGATTTTTTTTTTACAGAGGGGAAGGGAGAGGGAGAAAGAGATAGAAATATTGACAAACATCGATTAGCTGCCTCCTGCACCCCCCTTACCCCCACTGGGGATATGCCTACAACCAAGGTACATGCCCTTGACCGGAATCGAACCTGGGACCCTTGAGTCCCCAGGCCGATGCTCTATCCACTGAGCCAAACCGGTTACAGCTCAAGGTGGCCTTCAGTGCCAGGCTTTCGGACCCCAGCGTGTCCTGGTGTCCGCACCTCATCGCCCCTCCTGGCCAGTGTCCGCACCTCATCGCCCCTCCTGGCCAGTGTCCCCACCTCATCGCCCCTCCTGGCCAGTGTCCGCACCACATCACCCCTCCTGGCCAGTGTCCGCACCTCATCGCCCCTCCTGGCCAGTGTCCGCACCTCATCGCCCCTCCTGGCCAGTGTCCGCACCTCATCGCCCCTCCTGGCCTGTGTCCACACCACATCGCCCCTCCTGGCCAGTTCCGCACCACATCGCCCCTCCTGGCCAGGAGACCTCTTGCTTCCTGCCCTTCAGGCTGCGACAGGGAGGCCCACAGACAGGCACTGCTGTGCTGGGAAGGGAATAGCGTGTTCGCGGCAGGGCCAGCCTCCACATCCGGGTCTCAGCAGGCCCAGTCCTGTCCTTACCGGCTCCTCTCGCCGCTCCCCTCGGCGTCTCTGCAGAGTCAGGGCCGGCGTGTCAGCGCCGCAGTGAAGCCACTCCCAGCCCCACGGCCTCCCAATATCACATATGCTTGTCGGGCTGTTTCCGGGGTGCCTCAGGCACCCCGCCTCTCCTTCTGTCTCCGCAGCCCCTACCCGTGCCTGTGGACCATCAGCAACGGAGGTGGAGGCCCCGCCGGGCCGGGCCCCGACGTGCACGCCGCGTCCCCGGGCGCGTTTCTCCTGGGCGGCCCCGCGGTGACCTCGCCCCTCTCCACCCAGGCGCCCCCCTCGGCGGCCGTGGAGGTGCTGGGGGAGCCCTCGCTGACCAGCATCGCCGTGTCCACCTGGACAGCCGTGGCCTCACACCCGTTTGCGGGCTGGGGCGGCTCGGGCGGGGGCGGGCGCCATTCCCCCTCCTCGCTGGACGGCTAGGCAGGGTCCGAGGGCAGGGTCCCCGGAGAACCGTCCACGTGCCCGGCACCGAGAAACCCCAATCCCAGGGAGTGAGGCTCGGGGGTGGGCTCCTCCAGAAGCCGACGGGCAGATGGTTCAGCGAGGGTGATGCTAGTGCGTCCTCGGGTCTCTCTACCACTTGTGTGTGTTCCCCTGTTCTGGCAGCGGATCTCTGCTATGCTCCAGCCTCAGCCGCTCCTCGGGTACCCTCCTGTGCCTCGCCCCTGCTCCCAGATGATGGTAAAGGCTGTCCTTCTCCTGCTGGGCGGGGGCCCAGCTGTAAGCGAGCCCCACGTGTGCCTGCCGAGGCCACTGCTTCGTGGCCGTGTGCAGCCCGGGAGTGTGTGTGGCCACAGGCTTCTCCTCTGAGAGCGAGAGGCCGTGACTCAGGGTGAAGGCAGCAAAGACAGAGCACATCACGCAGCACAGCAGGGGGCCTGGAACTGAGGTCAGACCACGCACTTCCTTGCTCACCGGTGCCTGCGGAACGGAGCCACGCTAACCGCCAGGAGATCTTCTACGGCCCGGCCTCGCCGCTGCTGCTGCTGAGCGCCCTGCTACCTGCCAGCACCTGTGTGCCCGCCGAAGGAGACACGGCCTCGGTGCTCTGGGTGTTCAGTGGGCTTTCCCACCACGGTGCCTCTGACCCGAGCTGACCTCTGTCTAGTCCCACTGTGCATCCTACTCCGCTCCCCGCCCCTCCCAGTGCCACTCCCTGCACCAGACCTGCCAAGCCCAGGGCATTGCTGGAGCCAGTGTCCTGCCAGGCACACTGCCCTGTGCCCTGCCCAGCCCGCCTGCCCCCTGCTTGGCCTCTGGCGTGGAGCTCACCTCTCCCTGCTTGTGCTTTTCTTACCTGTGAGTGTGTCTCTCCCACAGACTGCCAGCCCCTGGGGGTGAGGCCTCGCCTTGACTTTGTAGCCACAGCCCCTGGATCTGTGCCTTGCCCGTTGTAGGTGCCCAATAAACCTTGATTGAGCTGAACTGGTGTGAAGGGTGTTTGCTAAAGGACCGTGGTGAGGGGCAGAGCTCAGAGACACGTGTCCGGGACAGGGCAGCCTGTCCATGTGGGAGCCTGGGACACGCTGGACAGCCAGGGCTCAGTGCCTGCGGACACAGGAGACGGTGTGGGCTAGCACTGGCCCGTGGCTCCTGCACCAGGGTCACCTGGAGCACCTGCTGGGGTACAGATTCCTGGGCACACCCCACACCTGCGGGTCAGAACCAGGGGCTGGAGGTCAGGAAAGTGCATTTCAAACGAGGGCTCCAGACAATGGACACAGAGCCGTTTGAAAAGACTTGCCTAGAATAGAGAAATAAAATGATAAATACTCTAGGAACCTCATTACAGATAAAAGTTCCAACCTCTGTCCCAGCCAAGCTCATTGCTATAGCCATTATCTCAGCCAAGGTCATCGCTATAGCCAATATCTCAGCCAAGCTCATTGCTATAGCCATTATCTCAGCCAAGGTCATTGCTATAGCCAATATCTCAGCCAAGCTCATTGCTATAGCCAATATCTCAGCCAACGTCATTGCTGTAGCCAAATATTTCAGCCAAGGTCATTGCTATAGCCAATATCTCAGCCAAGGTCATTGCTGAAGCCAATACCCCAACCAAGGTCATTGCTGTAGCCAATATCTCAGCCAAGGTCATTGCTGTAGCCAATGAGAAAAATCACTTTCCTTGGTTCTCCTTTGCCTCTCCTACCCACTGCGGGATGTGGTGGTGACCAGGAGCGAGGTTTCCAGAGCCAGGTGGTGAGTGGCTCTCCCAGCATTGATGTCACACTGCCCTGACAGAGTGGTCACTGAGGGCATCCAAGGTTCTGTCAGCTGCTCCCACCACTGTCCCACCAGCTGAGCCCATACACAGCCGCCCCGTGCCACGCCTTGGTCTGGGCATGCCAATATGGCCCTATTGCATCCTTGGTTCTTTCTACAGAAAAGGGCCCTTTGCCATGTGCTATTCCGTGTTGGACTCAGATCTCTGGAAATAATGCCACTCCTACTGCACGGTGACCTGGAAAGCCGCCCGACCGCCCCCAGGCTGCCTGGCCGGGGCTCGGGCCCCTGAGGGTGGGCGATGAGGCGCCAGGCTCCTGCACACGGCCCTTTGCAAAGCTGCCTGGCCAGCACCACAGACAGGACGCTTGCCTCCCTAGGCCTCTGCATGCCTTCAGAGGCTGCTGAGATATTAACATGGCAGCATCTCTGCAAGACGGACGCTGGTAAGTTGTTGGAAGTGGCCCTTCCTCGCTGTTGGAAGCTGAGGCTGTGGTAGCGCTGTTGCCCCTGCAGGCTGGGCACAGCCCTCCTCCGCGCCAGTTCCTGCAGCAGAGGCCATGCACCAAAGAGCGTGGCAAAGGCAACCCGCTCTGTGGAAACCAGCTGTGGTCTCGCCCTCCCCTTCTCCCTCTGCCTCGAGCAGACGGGAGAGGCCGGGGCCCAGGGCAGAGGGAGCCTGCAGCCTTCAACCCCTTTCACGCCTGCCCCTGGCTCAGAGGAATGGGGTCCTCGCAGAGGAGGACGGAAGCACGAGCTGGGCTGGACGTGCGTGCGTCTCCTCGGCCTGGGAGCCTGTGATGCTGCTGAGACAAATGCAGCGAAGCAGCTGCATGGGGGCCCCTGGGTGTTCGCCCTGCGGCGGGAGCCGTGTGCTTTCTGGTGTTTTCTCCACCGTACGGGCCCAGTTCTGACCGGGAGGAACAACACTCGACAGCTTGTCAGTTTAAAAAAAGGACAGTCTCTCCTGACCGGTTTGGCTCAGTGGATAGAGCGTCGGCCTGCGGACTGAAGGGTCCCAGGTTCGATTCTGGTCAAGGGCATGCACCTTGGTTGGGGGCACATCCCCAGTGGGGGGTATGCAGGAGGCAGCTGATTGATGTTTCTCTCTCATTGATGTTTCTAGCTCTCTATCCCTCTCCCTTCCTCTCTGTAAAAAATCAATAAAATATATTAAAAAAAATAAAAAAGGACAGTCCTTGAGGTTTTAGAGAAATGTTGGAGCACAGTTACTAGCTCATTATAAAGAACAGCAGTGCCCCGTCGGGTTTAGGCGCGTTGCATGAAACAGAAGAGCAACTTAGATCCCAGCTGCACAGGGAGAACTGGTGCCGCTCCGTGAGGCGGGCGCTAGGCATTCTCACTCTCCCTGAGGCCTGGCCGATTCGGAGCGTCTCTGTCGAGGGCCTGTGGGTCTGCGTGGCCTCACCGGCCCTCTCTCTGCGGGTGAGGCAGCTCCGGCTCCCAACACCTCTGCCTGCCGGGCCGAAGCCAGGTGCTGGCAGGACGCTGCTGACCCCCTCGTGCCCCTCGGGGGGCACCTCCTGGGATGGGGTCAGGGTGGGCGGTGGTAACTGAGGAGAGTGAAACTGTTACAGAGAATCACACTCCCTTGTTGCTCGTGGGAGCGAGGTGGAGGTTCTGGGGGTATCACCGAAATCAGCATCTTCAGAGGCCCCCACAGAGGATGGGGTGTGGAAGAAAGCTTCACGGGTGTGGACCTACATTCCTCAGTGTCCGATGTCCCTCTTCCCCCAAGCCAGTCCCGAGAGAGGGGCAGCTGGAGCCTCAGCAGAGCTGGAAGGAGGGCCAGTGGTCAGAGCTTCAGTCCCTGTTGCAGCCGGATGTGGCTGGCATCCAAGCTGATTACAGTCTATTCATTCGTGTGAGGGGTCCACCATGGCTGTCCACCACGTGGGCACAGGGCAGCGATCCCCCAGCCGCAGGAGTCACAGAAGACAGCACCCGGGAGCCAAGAGAGCCAACCGCCTTAGCCTGGAAGTTTAAATGTTGAAGTACTGTGGGCTGGCAGTGGCCACGCCCATCCAGGCCACTAATTTGTTCTCAGGTGTGACTGGCAGGCAGGCAGGCACCTGCCCAGGCCACTCAGACCTTCCTGGGCAGGCGTCCCAGTTGCCTTCGTCTGGTTTCTTCCCCATCAGTCAGCGGAGAGCACACTCGGAGAGTGTTAAATGCCGTGTTTTGGCAAAGCTGCACAAATGGCATGCCTATATCCAGTTTTCCCTTTTCTCCTTCCTTGTTAAATAATAGCCAGGTTGCTATAGCGGCGGCAAAACCCTTTCGTTATTAAGACAAACATCTCAGTAAAAGCATCCTGTAGGTGGGGCTGTTGAATAGCACAACTATAATAGATGCAGGAGGCCGCTGCTGCTCAGAGTGGCCACAAGCTTTGGTGCAATAAAAGCAGTGTCGGCACAGCCAGCCCTGTCCATCGGCCCAGCTCCACCCAGCGTCTCCCTGCCAAGAGCTTGATATGGTCTGAGACCTAGAGATGCTGTCTATGATCGTAGAGTTTTCTCCTCTCAAAGTTGTTACAAAACTCCAGGTTTTAGGCATCATGTGCCATTAAGCCAAGTTTGTACATTCTATTGAATATATTTATATGGTCAACTAAAAAAAGCTATTTGGCCCTAACCGGTTTGGTTCAGTGTGTAGAGCATCAGCCTGAGAAGCCAAGGGTCCCGGGTTCGATTGTGGCCAAGGTTCCTCCCCTGCCCGGGCCCTCGTCAGGGCTCCTATAGGTAGGCAACCAATCAATGTGTTTCTCTCACATCAATGTTTCTGTCTGTCTTTCCCTCTCTCATCTATTCTCTCTAAAAATCAATGGAAAAATATCATTGGGTGACAATTAACAACAAAAATCTCTCTATATAAAAACCTAAGCACCATTACAACCTGACAACTAGATGACCAGCCAGTAGCTATGATGCACATTGACCACCAGGGGGCAGATGCTCAATGCAGGAGCTGCCTCTTGGTGATCAGTGTGCTCTCACAGCCAACCTCCTGCAGCTGGCCAACCTCCCACAGTCCCCTGCCCCCAGCTGGCTGGTCCCAATCGGCCCCTGATCACTGGCCAGGCCAAGGGATCCCACCTGTGCACAAATTCATGCACCGGGCCTCTAGTAAATAAATAAATATTAAACAAAAACAAACAAATGAACAGAAAAACTATTTGTAGGTCTTCAGTCTTTAAGAGAAGTCTGTTGAAGTTTAGCCTGTTGATTTATTTTTGAGTGAAATTCTGCCACATAATAAACACATTCTCAATCCTCCGCAGCCCATGTCATATAACATTTGATCAGCATATCTCCAAGGAGGCTTGTATTAACAAAGATATTCAGTAAGTCAGATGTGTCCTGAGAGTTGTA